AAAGGATATAGAGAAGGTGCCTCTGAGCCACGCCAGCCTTGCTGCCACTTGATGTGGTTCCCACAGCAGGAGGGGCTGGTACCAACATGCTCATTTGTGGGACTGTTGGCAGCAGCTGCTGGCTCACTTCTTTCCCCAACTCCTGGCTCTCTGGCTGCAATCTGCCCACACTGCTTCTTGGATGAAAATAGCTAAAGCACACCTGAGAAAGCCACTCACAGGTCCAGAAGTATTTGTTGGCTGCCCCTTCCTGACGCGTCTCCCACCGCCCTCCCCAGCATGCCATGCCCACACAGCCACACACCCCTTAATTCATGCCCCATACTTTCCTACCTCAGTGCCCTTGCACATGCCTTTCCCCCTAAAGTTCTCCCTTGTTTCCCATATCTAAATACTGAGGTCAAAATCCACTCCTGGCATGAGCCTTCATGAACCCTCAGCTGGGAATAACCCCTTTCATCTCAAAGCCCCCTCTCGGCACCTCATCCATGCCACCTTGTGATGATATAGTGCTACATCTTGCTATATAGTTATTTGGGCCCGGGATTTATAGATCTTCTCCACAAGACAGAGCTCCAAAAGGACAGGGTCCATTGCTAACAGGGCTTGGTATCCTCGGGGACTAGCACAGGGGTCAACCCATTGTGGGCTGATAGTACATGCTAGGTAGCTACATGTTTGCTTATTTGGACAGTTGATAATGATAATAATAACAAACATTTATCAAGAGTTCTTGGACACTCAGGCACTTTTATAAGAATCTTTTACATAATAACATGCAATAACTAATTTAAATCTTCATAACAACTCATGCGGAAATTACTTCTGTTCTCCCCATTTTTACATATGGAAAAACGAGGCCCAGGCAGATATTAGGTACCATATTTTGCCATGTATAATAATGTGCTCCCGTGTATGATGCGCACCCACGTTTTTGGCCCAAACATTCAGGAAAAAAGTCTTTCGTTTTAATTTTTTTGTTGTTTTTTATTTTATTGGGGGAACAGCCATGGTCATTGGTTACACATTGCTTTCATGCTACAATGGCATAGTTGACTCTTTTGGGGAGGGCGCAGCTCACAGTGGCCCATGAGGGAATCGAACCGGCAACCTTGGTGTTATCAGCACCACACTCTAACCAACTGAGCTAACCGGTCACCCCCTCATTTTAATTTTTTTATTCAAATTTTTATTTGGTTATATTTAGGTACTTACTTTTTGTATTATAAAGGAATCTTAGCATTTATTTTTTTAACATTATGGTACAAGAAATTTTATGTAACAAATAACTAGAAAACAAAACAGATACAAGGTACAAGAAATTTTATGTACTAGTAACAAATTTATGATACTTACGCATCATAGAAGGGCAAGAACTCTTCGTCGTTGCAAGCTAGTTGTAAGTTCAACAAAACCATTTATCGTATTCCGGGGTATTATTTTGTGTATGGATATCGTTATTGATTTCTATAGTTACACTTTTAACTCATAAGCATAAATAAAAGAATTAAAAACACTTATATGGATACGGAATTAGTACTGCCCATGTATAATGTGCATCCTTATATTTCCCTCACAAATTTGGGCAAAACTATGCATTATACACTGCAAAATACAGTAACTTGCCCAGGGTCACACAGCTAGTAAGTGGCAGAGTCAGGATTCAGATCTAGGAACTGAGGCTCAGTGTCTGTGATCATATATTTGGCTAAGCTGCCTCTCCTCTGGGTGGGTGGGTGATGGAGGAAGACGGCTTACTAAGCCTGGAGTAACACAAGATCTTGCCTCCAGAATGCCCACCACCCCTACATAGCACCACCCCTGCATAGTACCTTATCACTTACCCCCCTGCTCCTTTTGATGATACAGAAATAACCTGGTGCGTCCCTGGAGCATTTGGGGAGTTACTAGTGCTTATCATCAGAGAGTCTCAGCGGTCATTACTGCTGTGTCCTGTGGATTACTTACAGGTACTACAAGTACCATCGTTATGTTCCTGGTACATACTATCCTGCCAGCATCAATGTTGTGTCTTGGGAGTTTTAACGCGGCTATGCTGGAGGAAAATGTCTTGATATTATCACTTTTTCATCCCCTGAGCCTTTGGGCATTACCGATGCCATTTGGGGGCCTCCTATCATGTTACACTCTGAGACTAGAGACGGGTATAATAGCTTCTCTCAAAGAATCTACCTGGAACTACTCCCAGCAGGTGTTCCCAGGCTGGCCCCAGATCCTGGGTGGGTCCATGGCTTAGCAAGGTGATCCAATGCCAGGGCCTGCCCTAAGCTTCTGGAGGGTTCTGGTCTCTCTTGCCCTTGACCGGAAAAAGATGGCAAGGGAGAGGCCCCTACCTGGGGATGGGGGCAGGGAGGGGATTTAGGGTGTTTACCTGTGCTGTCTGCTTTGATCTCATGGGATGAAAGAGCGGGTGCTTCCTGTGCTGCAGGCAGGTTCAGGACAGGGAGCTGGGGACAGAGGGCTCAGCAGCCTTGCAGCTGGGGTGGAGAACTGTCCAAGGAAAGAGGACCATGGGAGCAGAAAAATCAAAACTGTTTCCCAGTGTTGTGGCTGAGGAGTAAGAGTGGACTCCAGATGGCCCTGTAGGTCACCACATGGGCTCAAGCCTCACAAACTCCCTTGCTTAATTAGGAAGGTAACTCGGCTGCAAAATAGTCATCTGATATGTTTCAATGCCAAAGAGAAATTCCTCCTAGACCCTCCGCTGTTCTAGATTATCCATGCTCCATTAGCTTGAATTACGGTGCAGCCTCTGTGGCCCAGACACAGGCCAGATCTATGTGGTCAGCTCCTGGGACTAGAATGTGCCCTGTACCCAGGAACTGCTTGGAAGCAATAAGAGGAAGGAAAGCTTAAGACCCACCTGACCTCCATCCAAACCTAAGGATTGCCTTGTCAGCACAAAGGGATTAGCTTTGCCCAGTCTGCCTGCCCCAGGACTTGCGGATTCGAGCTCTTGAACTAAGTCACTTTCATGCCCCACTTCCCTGCCCTCTGGGCCAGGCCTCCTTTGAGGGTTTTGAGTCAATGGCAGAGGTTTCTACAGCAGCTCCTGGGTAAAAACTGGAGCGGAAGCAAGGACAGGCTTCTCCCCAAGTGTAAATAAGATCAGAGCCAAGCGGCCACACTGCACTGGATTATTTTATTATGATTACCTTCTTCCCTCACCCTCTAAATCGTCCCGATCTCATTGGCCTGGATTGCTCCATCTCTCAGAATGATAGATGGGCCTCTTTTCCCTTCCTAGGCAGGGTGGCTGGCCCTGCTACCAAGACACCCTCCTACCCAGCCCCTTCCCAGATTTATTCCCTGTGTTTATGGTACCCACAGAGTAATCAGTGTCCTGGGCCTGCTGAGCACTCTGATTATCCCCACTCGGTTGCTGGATGGGGCCTTCGGGGAACTTAGGCATCAGTCCCCTGCTCCCCTGTGCCTGTCCCTGCCAGGCCCCAGCAGCCTTCCCCCCCTTTTCTCCTCCCAGGAGTCAGATAATGGGCCTCAGGGTCGGTACCGGTACCAAAGTGGATGGTGTTAGAGGAGAGGAGGCAGCAACAATCCTTGGCACACACCTCTCAGCATTGCTGTGTGGATAGCTGAGGAAGGTCTCTGGGGTACCCCCTTCCCATCAGGGAGCCTGGGGCAGGGGGCAGACAGTGCCACCTGACAGCTTCTCTGGAGACAAGCCCCCTCCAGCTCTACTCGGAAACACATTTCCCAGGCAATGGTCCGATTTTCCTCTTCCATCACTCCTATCCCTTGGCACTTGTGTACAGTTGGTGAGGTAATGATAATTTGTGCTGGTTTATGTGTTTCTTTACAAGTGTTTTTATGTCCTTTATGTGTGTGTGACAGAGGTTTATGGTTTCTATGTGTATGTGTGTGCGAATGAGGTCACGTGCTGTGTATGTGTGCGCAAGGTCTTGTGTTCTGTGTGGGGGGCGATGCCTGCTCCTGATTAGACTCTGATCACCATCTTCTCCCCCATGGCAGTGGGGGGCTCTCACCCAGCTCCCTGAGGTGGGGGAGAGGCAGGCAATCAAAGATGATGACTGTCCGAGGCAGAGTCTGCACTGCCTCCCAGCAGCCAGTTAAAGACTGGAGGTCAATCTTAGATAATTGTTTTGTCTATAAAATCACAAACAACTGGTTTGACTATTTTTTTCCCCAGAAAATCGACTGAACCCACTGGTTGTTTTGGAGCCAGTGGTCTCTGCCTTTTATTACTAACATGTGCCGGCGTGTGTATTTATGTCTTATCTTCTCTAAACTTGAGTTCTCTTCACTGTAAAATGGCGATGCGATAATTGGAGGTTTCAAAGGTAAATAATGCAAGTGGTGTGATTAGCACATCACTTGGCTGTTATTAGCTACTGCACACCCAGGGACCCTGCATTTAGAGGAGGGTCAGTTCCGTGGGGCTGGGAAGCCAGGTCCGAGAGCCCTTCCTGCAGTTCTTCATGACCTGGCACACTGTGTGGAAGGGCAGGGGGGGGGGGGTCCCTCAGCTGCGCTCTTCTGACTTTTTCAGGGTGACCAACTCGGCAGGGTACATCAGGGACTCAGGCCCATGGGCTCTTGGAAAACTACCCCCATGTCCAGAGGGTCACCTGGGAAGCTGCCTGGTGACCCTTTGGAACCATCCTGTGCTCCCTTCTTTTTTTTTTTTAAGATTTTATTGGGGAAAGGGAACAGCCAAGTTGTTCCCCTTCAGTCTTAGTTGTGGAGTGCGCAGCCAGCTCAGCTCCAAGTCCAGTCGCCATCCGGCCGCCTGTTGACGGGTCGGGGCCGCTCAGCTCAAGATGCCGTGTTCAATCTTAGTTGCAGGTGGGCATAGCCCACCATCCAATGTGGGAGTCAAACCGGCAACCTTGTTGTTAGGAGCACATGCTCTCACCAGCTGAGCCATCCTCCCGCCTGTTGGCAGCTCAGCAGCAGCTCAGCTTGGACACAGCTTACTGGCCCATGTGGGAATCGAACCGGCGACTCTGTTGCTCAGAGCTCATGCTCTTAACCGAGTCACTCGGCCGGCCCCTGTGCTCCCTTCTTAAAGGGTAGTTGGAAGCAAAAGTTATACACCCTCAACCAAGGAACCCCAGGTTTAGGATTCTAGCTGCCCTAAGTGCCCAGGGCCAGCACTTGTAGGGAGCCCACTACCCTGGTGTGGTATTGTGGGAGAAGGGAACACAGTTTCATTGCTGCATTTGCATGACAGTGTGTACACTTGTGCCTCCTGTAAGCCTGGCACTGAGTGGGGAGCAGGGGCTGAGCAGTAAACATGACGTCCCTGCCCGCCTGGAGCTTCCTGTCCAACATGGGATGGCATCAGCCCTCTGACCTCGCATGCAGCAGGTGACCTCTTAATGCCCGCGGGACAGTGGCCTGGATGGAAGATGGAGAAGGACCTGAGGCCTTGTGGGGTAAAGCCCCCTTAAGCCTGTTGCTCTCCCTAAGCCCTCTGTGCTTAGACACTAAGGGGCAGGTATGGCTAGGCAGGGGGCTACATTGTCCTTCACCCTTAAAGATGGTTTAAACATCTGAGCCCACTTGTTCCCCTCCCAGCTGGGCCCTCAGCTGAAGGTACCTCCATGCCCTGCAGGGGAAGGTAGAAGAGGATAGAAAGGATAAGTCAGAGAATCCTAGCGTCTCAGCGTTGGCAGGGTAGTCAAATAATGTATCACCCATTCACTTCTTAAAACCTCTCAATCACATCCCTACAGGTTGGCTATCATCCAGCTTCAGCATTAATACCTCCAGTGACGGAGAACTCACCACCCTGCATGAAAGCCCACACAGCTCTGACTGCCCCAAATTCTTCCTTACACTGAGCTGAAATCTGTATCCCTGAAGCTCTGACCATCAGTCCTGTGTCTATGCCCTTATACCGGATTTGCGCATGATGTCCATCAGGCATTTAAAGATGGCCTCTGGCTCCCAGGGTCTTCTCCCCCGTTAGCTCATTCATCCAAGCCTGACATACCTCACCATTTCAGGTGCTCCCCTCAGAGCCGAGTTGTCTGGGTCCCCGTCACAGGTGTGCTGCTCCAATGTGGGCTGACCGGCCCAGGGGTTTAGATCGAGGATCCCCTCACCTCTGCAGCTGCCCGAGGATTCAGGAAGAGACAGAATGGGTTGGCTGCCTTTCCTCTTCCCCACCTCCACCACATCCCTTCCCTGCCCTGTTTTCCTTTGGATTAACAATAAATTGCAGTGGAAGATCTGTTTATCTTCAGGGGGAATGAAGGAATTAAGTTGGTGATGGGGAGAGAGGGGCCTGAGATAGGGAGCATATTGCAGAAATTCAGGGCGTAGAGAAGACGGTGGGGAGGGCAAGGCGCGGTGGGCTGGGGGGAGGGGTGCAGGACCTCCTGCCGTCACTTTACCTGAAGGCAGTGGGAGCCCCCTGGAGTGGAGGGGGCCACCTGGTGGGAGGCCACATGTGGGGTGATCTCCTGGCAGCCTCTCATGTCCCTCATTGGGGCTTCATGACATGGTGCAGCAGCTCTGTGGCATGTCCCTTCACTGGGCAAGGGAGCCAGTGTGTGTGGCAGGATGAAGCGCCCCACTGTCTGATGTTATGATGGAGATTCTGCAGTCGGAAGTCCACCACCTGCAGGCAGTTCATTACTGTCCCGGCACTAATAACCCCAGTGGCCTCTTTGCTTCTTTGGTGAGACTGGCGTGGCCATGGAGTCCCATGGCCAGTGATGAAATGAGTCTTTCAACCCTGGAGAGTCTGGGCTTCCCTTTATCCTAAGGGTAACCCAGAGGCCTCCTTCCTGAACCCCAAGAGGGGATTACTCATGATCTGCCCCCCCAAAGTACCTCCGCACTACTCAGCTCCTGCCCCCAAAGCCCAGGAGGCTTTCGGGCTTGGAGCCTCTTTTCCCATGTGCCCCGGGCGGGCTGCTCCCTGCCACCCTCCCTAGCTGGGGATTCAGGACCCAGCTGGGTGGCATACTTCCATGCCTTCTCTTCCCTCCTCCAGGCCTTCCAGCTTCCCCTTGCCATAACCTGAGGCTGAGCAGGGAGAGAGAAAGATAAGGAGTTGAGTACACTGGAGGGGCTGAGGGTGGGGGTGGTCCCTAGGACTGCCTCCAAGTGACTAAGACAAACTAGCTCGGTACATGCCCCAAATAATAGTTTCAATCACTGTCATCCCTGTCTCTCCTGCCGCCCCAGGGCTGGGAGTAGGGTTTGCTATTCTATAGCAGCAGCCACTGGGAAGGGCTCTAGGAGATAAAGAGCAAAGCCGGGCTGGAGAGAGTCTGTAGAGTGGGGGAGGGGCAGGAAGACAGGATGGGGGTGGAGAGTTCCAGAGGTGCTTAGGATTCTACACTGGTGAAGGATGAAACCAGAAATTGGGCCTTCAAGTCCAAGAGTCTAGCTGGTTAATAATTAGTAACTCTGGTTAATAAATCATTGGTGTTTTTTTCCCCAATTTCATCTCCCCCACCTCCATCCCTGGAGATTTCTAGGCTTTTCCCAAGCCTCTAAAAAGGACCTCCACCCCTGCCCTGGGCTGCCCCCTCCTCCTTCCCTGTCCCCCATCTAGTTTCTGGCCCCGAGAGCCAGCCTGGTATTTAGTCTCCAAGAGAGATTAATGGCCTGCTTTTGCTGGCTTCCCCCCATAGGCTCTTTGGATGCCCCAAGATATTTCCTGCTGGGAGGGCAGGCCCTATGACCACCCCAGAGGGCGACTCGAGGTACTCTCCTTGGCAGTGACACTGACCCCATTGCATCACTTGGCTGGGCCCTTTCTGCTGGCTAGATGAGGTCCTGGGGTGAAGCTGTGGGTAACTCTTCCCTAATCCTTTATATAAGGTCAGTTAGTCAGTCAGCAGATGTTCTTTGAACATCTACTATGTGCCAAGTTTACTGTATGTAAAGAAAAAGTACTTTAAGCAATGCAAATTAAGGTTAAAGGCTTTATTCGAAGGCTGATGTGCCCCAGGGGCACCCAAAGACCAGGGAACTCCGCAAGTGGAGATTTAGGATGCGAACAGGGGGCCTCATATCCTTGAGGTTTGGCCTTCTGGTGGCATTTTTCACCTCTAACTGTTGGACAACTTTCCATTGGAGGTATGGTTTCTGTGCCTCTTTTTCAGAGTCCCTGGTACAATCCCTTCCTGATGGCTGTCAGAACAGTTTTTTTCTAGAGCTGTTTTTATAATCCATGTGGTCAGGGGAAGGGGAGGTGGCAAAGAAAGGGCAAAAGGGAAAGGAGGCAAGGGTTGAAGCGAGCCTCTCCTGTCTGTTTTAATCCTCTGCGTGAGCTGGGGCTAAATTGAGTAGTGATGACCTGTACTCAAATCAGGTGTCATCCCTGTTGCCTGAGTGATGCACAGAGCAATCCAGAGAATTACACAAGTGATTAAAGTATGCACAAAGCCTTGAAGGAGACCTGGGCCCTCACTTGGGTGAGGCGTCCCTGGGGGAATGACCTTGATACTGAGACCTAGAGGTTGAGTAAGAGTGGCGGGAGAATGCCACAGAGGAGAGTGACCAGGGTGGCCTGCAGGAGGCCAGATATGGGCACACGTAGGAAAAGACTAGCATCTTCTTGAGTGTCTTCTGGATGGGGGAGCAGGAGCATGTGGCCATGGAAGGGACTGAGAAGCCACATGGAGGATTTGAGACTTAAGAAAACCATCCCCCAACCTGTTCTGTGCTATTCCAGCCTGGCCTGTGCCCCAGGCCAGCTTTTCTGACCACCAGATGGACACTGCCACTTTATGCCTGTGTGCAGTCCAAAGCTGCCTCCTCATCTTCCAGGACACGGCCCTTGATGGGCTCGTCCCCTTTCTGTGCTCAGAACTCTAATTCTGCCATTCCCTGGAGCTGTGGTTCCTTCTCCTTCATCCACCTCATCTGATGCGTTATCAGTTCTTATTGGTTCCATTTCTGCAGGACCCCTCCCTAGTCCCACCAACACCCTCCTCTGAGAAAGTCTGAGGCCTCTCCCCCTTCTTGTGTAGCCTACACACCACCATGAGTACCAGAAGTTTAAGCCTGTCATGCTACTGCTTCATCTGAGCCCTTGTAGGCTCTCCAGTGCTGCTGATTTAAGTACAGACCCCATGTTCTAAGCCAGGGTTTCTCAGCTCCAGCCAGCACTGTTGACATTTGGGCCAGATCATTCTTTGCTGTGTGGGGCTGTTCTGTGCACTGGAGGATGTTTAGTGGCATTCCTGGCCTCTACTCACTAGATGCCAGTAGCCATCCTTTGCCCTACTCCCAACCGTGTGACAATAAAAAATGTCTTCGCACATCGCTGAAATGTTCCCTGGGGGAAAAAGTCATCCCTACTTAAGAACCACTGGTCTAGGCTCTGCTGTGCCCAGAACCTAACTTTTCCAAAAATATCTCCTGCTACTTGCCATGGGCACATTCTAGGTTCCAGCCAAAGTTAGCTGCTCCCAGCTCCTCCATTCACTCTTGCGCCTGGGCCTTGTCTCCTGCTGCTGGCTGAGCCCAGAGCCCCAACATACCCACCTGTGAAATACCTAGTTCCCAAACGGCCCCACCCATGAGGTCTCCCCCTGCCTCTTGGTACTGTGTTGTCTGGCACTTTCTTTCTCTCCTCCCTTTACCCTGGGTCCTGAGCTCCTTGAAGGAGACGATTCAGCCTCCAAACCTCTGCATGCTCTAGCTCAGTGCCTTGTACACCCTAGGTGCTCCATAAATGTACAGTAAACTGATGGGAGCTGACTAACTTCCCCTCTTTCTCAACCCCAGTAAGCTACGAGGTTTCCTTCTTCTGTGCACCTCTCTCTGTTTTCTTGGCACTTCGTTTAACCCCGTAGCCAAGATGGGGAAACTTCTGATGCTCCCCGTCTCCTAACACCTCCCTTACCCACCTCATGTTGTTTGCAGCAAACAATAGCATCTTTTTCCCATTTGGTCAACGTTTACTAAATACCTCCGATGCATCAAGCCCTGGGGGCCAGAGGCTCTGTGGTTGTGTGTGAAGTTGTGCATGGATGTGTGACTTCGCAGGCAGGTGTGTGCTATCACATTTTTATGTGTCGGTGTTTTTGTTTGAGTCAGAAATTATGCCGTCTACACCAGGGCCTGTTCTGGGGTCTTTCCACTAGCTGCTCTGCACTCCAAACCCAATCACACTGGGCTTGTCCCCTCTACACGCCATCTCTCATCCTTTCATTCTGCCAGGTCTGCACTCTATCTCTCTCTCTCTCTCTCTCTCCACTCTTTTTGGAGGGCGCTACTTCACTGCCTAGCAAACTCCCACTCACCCTTCAAGGCCCTTTCTTCTCTAATTCCCCTCTCCAAATTCACCATTTCCTCCTGGTATTGTCATGGCACTTATGAACATTCCTGCCATAGCACAATGACCATATTATTAATTTATCCTGTGTCTTTAAGCCTAGGATCATATCATGTGTGTGTGTGTGTGTGTGTGTGTTTACAATGCCTACTTTCAGGCCCTGGATAGATTTTTAATACTTGTTTATTAAGTAAATTGAATTAAATTACTTTGTTTTCCAAAGCATTTTCTTAGTACTGTTCTAAGAATATGTCTCTGATTAATGATTTTGCTTAACCTTTCTGCACGTGGTCCATGTGTTTCTATGCATGTAAACGTGCACATACATACACATATCTACATACACAACACTGTTTGTGCACATATGCTCTGGTGCACATGTATGCATGCAGGTCTGTTTCAGTGTTTCTGTAGATCTAAATGTGCCCCCCAATGCTGCCCCCTCCAAGGTGGCATTCCCTCAACCTCCAGCCTCCCACCCTTGAGAATTGAAGAGGTAGGGATAGGGCTGTAGGGGTGACTGGGTGGTGACTCCCCTTCCCTCTCCACCACCACCCTGGCATCTTTCTCCACCAACCTGAGATTCCCCCCAGAATTTCCTTCTGACCCAGCCCCTGGTCTGCTGTCCACCCTGGGGTAAGCCAGGGTGGGCAAGTATGGTTGTGGACCAGAGTCCTCTGTGGCCTAGTCACATCACACCCCCTTTCCTATCTATCTCTGCCCTGTTTAATTGGAATTTGGCTAGTGGAGACCATCTGTTCTATTCTGGCCTGTTTCCATGACAACCAAGTGGCTTGAGACTGAGGTTTGTGGTGAGAGAAGCGGCCTGGGGGATGCTGGGAAAAATCAGCGAGGTCCTCCCCCCTCCAACCTGCTCCACCTCACCTTCTCCTCTCTGCCCTGCCCTCATCCCCAAGCTCAGAGTGAAAATAAAGTTATTGCCTGCCAGGGAGTTGGGAGTCCCCCCAGCATCATTCTCTCATCCCAGCCCCAGCCCTGTTCTCTCTCAGGCTCCTTTGGACTTCCCACACACTGTTCCCGCCCCCTCCATTCATAAGCTTTTGCCACCAAGCAGACTGGGGAGCTAGCTAGCCCTGCCCTTCTGCAGACACCTGGGACTGGAGGGGAACCTAGGGGCATGAAAGCCTGCATTTGTGTCTATATTTTTG